AAATATATTGCTTTTGCAAAGTTGAGTCCTCCCTATGTCAAGTTGCATTCCCAAGCATCAAACACAAGGACCGACGAAAAAGCACTCACAATCATCCTTTCAAGCTACAAACCACAAATACAACAAACAAGTAGGACCAGAAGGACTATATTGTTGCTGGTGCACTTATTTGTAGATTGTCTTTGAATTATCAAATCGCCTGAAGACAAGCCGTTTTCGACACTATAATCAGAACTTCAGAAGGGTGCTGTGTCCACTTGCATGGATGTTGATGGGCGACCCCGTAGTTTGGAACCCATGACGTTTTAACCATATTTGGTATTTAGTGGGCCTATCTGTTGGAGTTGTTCTCGATTGGACACCTAAAATCTAACCCTTCTGGAAAGGCAACAAGCCTTCCGGTCTAGCAAGTAGCTCTAAGCCAAATTTTAGTATAAAAATATATCTGGAATGGCTGAGGGCTTTATAACAAAAGTCTGAAGGCTTTGTATGTACCTAGCAATAGCCAGACCTAGCTATCCAATTTTAACTTAGAGAAATCTTGCTCATCCCAGTTAACCCACGTTTCTCCACCACTTTTACACATCCACATACACCTACCCAGCTTGACTAGCGGTCACACTACCACCACTACCATCTTTACTACGTACCTAGCCAATTACTATGTAAGGACCTTTGTATACCTTACAGTATATATACAACAAGAGCTAGCTAGGTTGGCTATTGGTTGATTGGTTGGTTGGCTGACTGACTAAGGCTAGGCAGGTTACCTAAACCTACACAACTTCTTTCCAGCTGCTAACAAGTAATACTTAGTATGGACGACTACGACTTTGTATGCAACGATAGATTAAACCGAGGGCTATTAGGAGGCCTATTGGGAGGACTATTGCGAGGGCTATTACGAGGGGGTTGGGTGACTTTAGGTAGGCTTATCATTGTACCTTATGTAGATAAAGTGCGTAGGAGGTAGGTAAGTACTTAGTAAGTAAGCAGGATAATTAAGCTATATTCAGTGCTTAATAATAGTAAAATATAGGGCAGTTATAAGGCAGTTATAGGGGGCTCACAGTACCTACTTGGTTATATGCCCAGGTACCTACAGGTCGGCGAGAGAGATTATAAATTCCGCCTTTATGTGTTTACTCGAAGCTATGCAAATTTCTCTGCTTTCTCAACATTTACTGTGGCAGACTTGGGCTAATAAACCGTTGCGAGAGTCGAAGGGGGTTAACAAGCCTAGAGCAAAGGCTGTAAGGATTGCCGTTTCTGCGAAAATCTTATGACATGAAAACTAAATCTCGCCACGGGGGAAAAAAAGGGGTCTCAAGGTTGATAGTATCATGATGAGTTCTTCTTGTGGCAGCAATGGTAATCGCTGTTCGTTTGCTATCCTTGTACACACCTAGAATCGTATCTATCACATCTCCCCCATAACCCACGCTGTGGTATCCGAAGCACAATAATTACCTGTCTAACCATAATATAGAGAATCCTCACAGACAAAAAAGATGCTTAATCTGGCTACTTCATGACGGTCACCCTCTCACCACAACAACTTCTCGTTTGTTGATCCACATCCTCCTTCCAATTCCCCCTCGACAACGTCCTTGGTCCAATCGTACATACCCCCGCGTTTACTGAACGCTTCCTGGTCCCAGCGAACCTCGCTTAGTGCTCTGTGCACTCCGACCTCCAGGATCGACCGTGATTGTTTCTCAGCCCCGGCGCCCTTGTCAAGGAAGCAAAGGTACTCATCGAGGATGAGGTAGCTCGACGCCATAAGCGAGTTCGGCTCGGGCACGAATGAGGAGAGGTGTTGATGTTTGTCGCAGAACGTCTTGAACTGCTCGGTCGATATGAGAAGCTTCTTGGCGTTTCGTTTTCGCTTACTCAGGTACACGTCCTCATCCTTGGAGTCATTTTCTCCCTCAACATAGAGGACTTGGAACACCTTCCACCGGAAGGGGTTGAGTTTCTGTATCATTTCCACCATGTCCTCTTCCCAGTTGTGGGTGCATATTACCGTATTAAGCTTAAACTTGATCCCCAGCTCCTGGCACCAGTCGCGAATATTAAACAGCTGTTTGACATTGTTGCCAGTACCGCGACCAATCGCAATGTTCGTTTTCTCGTTGAAGCTGTCGCAGCTGACGCCTAGAACATCCACCCACTGGCCATTCTCTTCCACCCATCTCTTATCAACCTTTGTCCCGTTGGTGATAATGCTGACGCTTTCAAGCCCGAGCTCCTCTTTGCAGAAACGGCAGAGCATCGCTAGCTTGCCGGGGTAGAGGAACGGCTCACCTCCAGCGAAGTTGATTTTCCGCACTATGATACAGAGTTAGTAAGTGACGTTTTGAGTGCGGTCTGCAAGTGTTTTGAAACCGAGGAAAGTCTAAAGCATGATTCTGGCCTAAGAAGGAGCTTTATGCTCTCTACAACTCGCCAAAAAAAAGAGAGAGAAATAGCTCCAAGAGTTACTCACTACCAGCCGCCCTGAGTAGCCTGAGCCCACGCTTCATTTCGTCTTCGGAGGCGACGTGAGAGGATTTTTCGGTGTGGAAGCAGAAGGCGCACTCTTTGTTGCATTTCCGCGTGAAATGATAGTTTACCGAGACCGGAGTGATGGCTTTCCCTGTGTGGTGGTTCCGATAGACCAGGTACACTCCTATGCTGACAAGACAGGTGCAGCCGATAACCATGGACGAAGTCCAAATCAAACGAAGAAAATCTAGCAGCATTGTTGATATTCCACTGTGTTAATCCCTTTCAATCTTTAAAACAAAACGGAGGAGTGATGGAAAGTCTGGCTGCTGAAGGAAAATGGTGGGTTCAACGCCTTCTTATAGACTTTTTTTTGACGGCGCTCAAAATTACTCAGAATTGATGCTTGCTTTAGACGTGAAACAGGCATCAGAGACAAGCAGGGGAGATAGGTATAAAAAAAACCGGCAAACATTGGAATACAAATGGCCTCGGTCTCTAAAAAAAAAAACTAAACTGAGTCACGGAAGTTTTTGTTTCCCTTTCAGCCCTCTTACTGTTGAGTCAACTATGACAATAACATCAAACCGATCCCCCATGAGCGGCTAAACTACTTCATTGGATATTTTATGTTGGGCTTTACTTGTTTGGATGATTGGCAACAACAACGCTTCTCCTGACAGAAGTGAACAGGTCCTGCTCGGCTAAGTTCTATTTCTCACGGAGAAATCCGTAGTTCCTTGGGAGTCATAATTTCGGTCTTCAATTCGTTATGGGAACCGAGAGAACCCGTGTCGCACTCCTCATTTCTAGAAAAAATGTTCTGAGACAAGCCATGGCTTAGCAGGCGTTCCCGAGGCAAACAGACCCAGTACGGTTGTTAGTCTTTGTCAAAATATCTACTATTTGTCTTATCAAGCAGAAATTGATTGTTCTGACGGAAAGCTGTTGCGTGTGAAGAACATTCCATCAGTTGAAACATTGTGTTTGTGGTTTGATAGAGGGCTCCAAAAAGGTTTCATCATGGCTTCCACGCCTCTACGCTTCCCGATGGGCTATAAAAGTACCCCGAAGACCTTCGAAATTTCTCACTTCACCTGCAAATCACTCTTAAGGTATTCACAGTGGAAGGCACTATGCAATCACGTAACGATACCGTTATTTTCGTCCTCGGACCCCCAGGAAGCGGTAAAGGTACCCTTTGCAAACATGTCACGGAAATGCTGACGCTTACCCATCGGTGCTATCGCCACCTTTCAGTGGGGGACTATCTACGCGAGCTCTGTGACCCCAAGACACCCCGTGACGCGCAGGGTTTCGATCACAGCATGATCCGTGACTACTTGCGAGAGGGCAAACTGCTACCTGCCGACGTGCTCACCCCGGTCCTTAAGCACAAGATTGACTCTACACCGAACGAGAACGGCTCTACTGTCTGGCTGATCGACGGATTCCCACGGAACATGGAGACTGCACTTGCGTTTGAGGAGCAGGTAAATACGAGAGAGAAGCAAAGGGATGCTGGTTGGGAGAAAATGCTAATGCGCTGCTCACACTAGATCGGTCAGCCGGTGAGAGTCATCACTCTGCAATGTGACCGCAACACCGCACAACGGCGATTTCTGAGCCGAGGTAGAGAGCAGACGGACGACGAGAGACGCTTTAATAAGCGGTATGACGAGTACGTCGAGAACATGGGGGCGATTCGGAACCGCTATGCAGGTATCATGGAATCCGTACGTATTTTGCTCTTCTCTCGTCCTTGGGTGCTATACTTATTTTATTGCTAATGACATTTGCAGATTTCCGTGGATGGAGACCAGGGACAATGCTTGCATCACTTCATGGGCGCATTACCTCCAACGTCTAGTGACTAAGGACGCAGGAACGGCAAAAGATCAGTGAAGGAAATGGTATGTTTGCATGGTGCTTTGTGATGTGGAGCGGAGAAGAGTCACGAGGTGGTGGCTGGGAGAGCGTAGAATTAGGATAGGACTCAATATTCTCGATTCCAGAGTTCTTCACGAACTAGATATGGGCCTCCCGGGTCTTATGTGCACAGGAGCCCATCGGCGTTCCAACAACCTTGAAGTGTGGCATTGAGATATCACGTGGTAAAATGAAATATAGCTGGCTGCTTAGTAATCCTAGTAAAATGGCGAGGGCATAGCACACTTTTCGACGCAGATTCATACAAAAGTGAATATGATTGATTAGCATGAGAGTCGAACTCGTGGCCTTTGCATTCCTGGTGTCAGAAGCTCTTTAACAAACAGTTAATGCTCTGGTCTGAAGGGGAGAAGAACGGATTCATAACCAGACAAACCGAGAACTGGGAAAGTTGACTAGCCCGAGTAAGGATTACTCTCAGCCTCACATTCACTAATGCCACCGTGAGAAAATACAGAGGATTAGGTCCAGTGCACCCACTCTTGTGGAGATACCTCCAACACCAACCAATCTGTCCCCGACAAGTATCACACCCAATTAAGGCCCACGAAATCATCCACCAGGGTCCCATAACTCAGTTGGTTAGAGTGTCGTACTAATATTATAGCTTGTTTATAAAATTAGTAATGCGAAAGTCGTGAGTTCGACCCTCACTGGGACCAAGGATTCATCTTGCGATGTTGTTGTATCTGGATGTTTTTTTTTTGCTTTCGCTCGAGGTTCACTAGGTATGGGTGTCCAGCTGAGAGACATAGGACCGATTGTGAGTCCCGTCGGGATGTTACTCTTGTGGGGGGGAAGGAAGGATAGAGACCCTCTGCGCAATGGTATCGGTTATCAACTTGTACGTACATAGCTGGCCATTGCTCGCAGTTAGGCAGTATCGACATTATTACCCTTGAGATCATGACAGTGATGCAGAAGTGTTCAGTTGAAGCCGAGCTGAGATTGCTATCGGTCGACTAAGTAAAGTCATAGCACCAAAGCATAGTATGAGAGTCGCGACAGACTTGTTCCCCGTTTCTCATTCAGGGTTGCAGAGTAAGATGTCCTTTCTCTAGGTCTGAGGGGTTCCTAGGAAGGCGATTAGAAAGTAGGAAAGTCTCCTGTCACGCCCGTTCGCTGTTTTGGAGGTCTTTAACATGGATATCTATGAAAATCATCTTCATTTGAAATCAATTGAGCGCGAGGTATCGAGACGCATTGTTACATTTTGAAATAGACTGAAGGTATGGTCATTAGTACCCGTGTGATATTCATAGACCATCGTCGGCATATGCGTAATGCCACCAATAAAGTGAGAAGTAGTGCGATATGCTTACATGTCGCTATTTTGCGATTGATATCTCCGACCATTTTCATGGGTATATATTACATAGGCATATCGGAGTGTGTCCTGCGTTCTATGTTGGAAATGCGATACACAGAGCATCTAAAACGCATGTCGTTGTGTTTTATTCATCCGAGGGGTTCATGGCCTTAATAAGTGTAGCATTCATGTCCTCCTTCAATTTGCGCAGCCGCTTGATCAATTTCTTATTCTCCAACGCTTTCACCGCCGCGTTATTACCCGCTTCTTTTTTTGATAGACCGCTTCCGTATGCAAGACTGAGATTTGTCTCGCCCAAGCCGTCGTAGTACGCCCCCACGGTGAACCAAGGTAGACCACTGTTCTTATCTTTCTTCGGCTGGCCCACATCTCGGTAAGAAATCCTGACCCCTTTTATGCCAATGGTCTGGGCCAAGGCTACTTTTGGGACAGGGTGTGCTGAAATACCACCACCAAAGCGCCCCTCACCTCCGACAGGATTGGAATGTCCTTCAATAACGGACTTGTATTCATCACGAATCTCTCGCTTGAGGACAGTGCCCCAGACTGGCTTTATCCATGCGATAACACGTGGGAGGCCGTCAGCATCGCCTAAAATGGCCGCGGCCACATAGGCTTCAAAGAGGTCGCCGAGAATTTTTTTTCTCTCCTTTTTTGACGCTGATGTACCAGCCCCTGTCTGGGACTGCCTACCTCCAGGCTGGAATTCAATGGGCAGTCTAGCTCGCTTGTCGATGTTGTATCGTAGGGTGAACTCGGACAGCGTCTCATTCTTGACGAGCCGTTCCCGAAGTTGCGAGCACCGCCCCACGGGTAGGTTTGGAAATGTCTGATAGATGAGTGCGGATGACGCGAGATATAGATACGCATCGCCGATCCACTCAAGCCGCTCATAATCCATCTCTCCAAGGCCGCTCACTACGCCAGAGTGCGTACGGGCTGCCTGCTCGAGAATGGGGTTTAACACAGGAGGCAGGGGTGGTAGGACGTCCGCATCGGGAACATCTTGAGGCGTCCATTTCGTGAGCAAGGCTGGAAGTGGAATCGGCAATCCCGACTGCGGATGACCGTTTGAAGGTCCCTGGCACTGGTCCACTTTCGGGATCTTGTGCGTCTTTTCTGATGCTGAGCTCACACTGGCGGTCTGTCGATAGATGTTAAAGATATGATCTGAGCTTTGGGTGATTTATGGAGTCCTCGCACCTCATCCCGGGACAGTGCCTGCACTGCGGGGTGTATCTGAGCATTATGTTGTTTGAGAGCTAAGAGGATCTTCTCATGCAATGGGGAATCGCTGTATTTTCCGAGTCGCTCAAGGTCCTGCTTGAGAGATTGCGCAGCTTTCAGTAAGCTGTCGGCATGATCTAATACCGCAAGGTAGCGAGAACTTGACGCTAATGTTGAAAACTCCTCAAACGACCGCTTAGACATGACGATATTCGCTCCGTTCTAGCTCAGGAGGGGTTTGAGCTTGGTTGGCTGGCTAGGACGATATTATTTAATATTGGCTTCTTGGACATACAGCGCCTCTACCTATCCAATGAAAGATAGGTACCTAGCTTTTGGGGTGCTGGTTGTGGAGACTGTGGAGACTATGGAGCACAGGCCATGTGTGGGGGACCAGCTCCCGACTTCATCAAACTCGCTTTAGTTTTTGGTATGATGCAGCTCGGAACGTTTGCGAAAAAACCGCCCAACAACGAACTATTGAGGCCATAATTACCGAGCCACCCATCCATCGAAGATGGCAGCCGTCCCCCGGGCAAGGCTGCTGGACCTGATGAAGGTAAGGAAATGCCTACGCTCGCCAAACATGGCGCTGACAACCGACCCCCCATCCAGGTCCAGTGCCAGATCTTCTCGACCACCTACAACCCCGAAGGAATCCGGATGGGGAATAAAATTCTTCGACAGAGACTCCGAGGTCCCTCCCTAGCGAAATACTATCCTCCAAGAGGACCCACGATCCAGACGTTGGAGAAGGAATTCAGGAGCCTGGGGCTGGAGACATTGAATGAAGACGAGGAAGACCGAGAGGAACATTTAGCAGGGCAAGTCGCCTGTGTGCTTTTGTTATGCGTCGCATGTCCAATACTGACTTTTTTCTGCAGCCGGAGACAACGTGGAAAGGGCGCACCGAAGAAGAAGCGCAGTCCGCCAGGTATGGTTCCCTTGTCAGCCCCCGCAAGTCCTGGATACTAACGCTTTCGTGAAGAGAAGAAAGGCAAATAAGACTTCGGTTGGCCACAACGTAACAGCTGTATTATCGACATGTATAAAAATTGTGATATCCACGAAAAACAGACAGATAGAGCGTCGATGTGAGAATACGAAGACAGGACTCTTGGGTCATTCCTCATGGACTCTCGAAACCCCCTCTCGACCACACACCCTGACGGCGATACGACCTCTCTTTACCTTGACCCTCGGGCTACAAATTTGTGTTCAAATTCTAGATCAATTGGCCACATGTGGATGAGGGCCCTGGACTGTAGGTGATGGATACGACTTCGAGGAACAGGCCTAATTCGTGGAGAGCCTGTTGCGATTGTCGACCCGAGATACGACTGGACACTATATACGTTAGGATGTACTCAGCTTGAATAGTAAGATGTATTATTTGGCCTCCGTTCATTTCCTCTAGAATGCACTGATATCGAATTCAAGATTGCGGTGGCAAAATATAGTTGTATTCCAGTTCGTTATGTATCACCTATCTATTCCGCTGTTCTTGGTCACGTGTAACTCAACCTTGAAGATCCCTTCCGTCCCAACTTCCTATGCATTGTTGCTGCTCAATCAATATATGACTATCTGCACGCGGCTAAACTACATACACTAGGTACTAACAGGTGGTGGTGCCACTAGGACCCAGCTTCAAGTTTGCTTTGTTATTGTACAACATGGGGCTTTTGATAGCGCAACATGACTGTGATAATACCATGATAAGCATCTAATTCCCGCCTCGTGCGGGGGCATTAGCGGCAACAGGTGGCAAGCAGTCGAGAAGCTCAATTCTCACGGCGTAATCTCGCCGCATACACCTGCTTCAGGAACGAGTCTAGATCAAATTGTGTCCCCCGTATACTCGGCCATGTCTTAGCAGCCATGTCACAGCGTGCTTGAGTACTTATCTACCCACATTAGTTCAAGCTGCAGGCATGTCCAAAATTGTCGTTCAATTGGACAACCTGAATATTGCCTGGTAATGTGCTTGTTGCCCACTAGTCGGCGGACAATTGAAGCTGGGAGTCTAATCGGAGTCTAACTGCCACGAACATACCGAGAAAGGAGGTTGCACGGGGGAGACGTATGTACATTTACATACTAACTGCTCTTTGCCATTGCACTTTCCACTTCCACTTCCAGCGTTTAGTCGCCTAGGCAAGGACATCACGCCCATTACCTCCCTAGTATGCCTGCATACCTACTTACATCGCCTACCTCTAACCTACATGTACTTACTTAGCCGACCTGAACTCACGTACCTGTATGTACACCTGCAGGTACCTACCTGGATTCACTCGACTCGCCTCGGCCTTTCTTCTTCCCCTGACATCTGCCACTCACCTAGCACTCTCCACGCAACGCGCCTGTTCTCTCTTTTATATACTTCTTTCTCCTCCATCATTAGCCCCTTCGCCAACTCCATCACGACATCCTCTCTTCGATCTACCTACTTACCTACAACATCCCGCTTCCTAACTTCCAACTGTTGATATCGACGAGGTACGGCGACCTGCCATCAGAGACACCCGCTGCCCGTTATCTTCATCTGCCGACGCCTTTGGCCGCTTCTTCTACTGTTGTCTAACACTTTCCATCTCTAGGTCATCTGAAGCTGCGTGATCTAGCAGGTGTCTAGGTGGGTAGGCTCCCTTGGAATACCTACCACGTCTAACAATCTGCTACATCTGCCATCTGCCTATCATCTCGTCAGTTCCCGGGCATATTCCGAGGCATACGGCTACTGCCACTTCCCTCATATAAACACACTCTCTTCACCTTGACAATCAGTCGCCAATCTACACATGTACTAGGCTCCTACTTCGCGTTAGTAGGCGAGCATGCACATCCTGTTTAAGCCAATGCCATCTCTGCCGACGCCTTCTCTCCCTTGATCTCATCTAATATCGACTCGGAGCTAGCTTCCTTACACCTGTGACATTTTGAGCTCTAATCTGTGGGACTGCCGCCATCTAATTTTCCTCATAGTCACCTGGCCGTGGTATTCCATATTTCGCCCTTTCATTCTCATCCCATCCCGCATCTCCATCATTTGGTCACCACTTGCCACCCATTCTGGTGTCGCTCACTCTCCATACAATCTAG